TCTTGGTTTATGATTAGTATAGAAAACATATAAATCATCTCTTTTGGTATTACATGACGTCGAATTTGATAAAAATTATTGAACTTGATATTATACCTTATTTCTAATGGAAACGATAAATTTGAAACTCACCGATTTTTATTACTTGTCAACGATCCGTACGCTTGCAAATTTCCACGTGAACAGTAGAGTCAAGAAGTCTGTCTGTCTGTCTCCTAGATTAGATTGTGCATTCAACTGGTGTTTATAATTCTCAAAATCATTTCAAAAGTGTTATATTTAATTTGTAAATTGGCAAATCCTCGACAAAATCAAAGTAATGGTGTAATTAAAGTCAAAGAGTCATGGGTCATAGTAGTTTAGATTCACAAGGAGTCAAGGAGATCAGACATAGACCAAGGAGATAAAATATCCGAAAAATCGTTTGCTACACGTCAAGCTGGTACTTGAGCACCCAAAATAGGAAACTAATCACTCATTCACTCGTTACCCGCAAAGATGGTCCTCTAACGACGTTAGGGTTAGCCAAGCCCTGTTTCGCAATTTTTGACCTATTTCTCTATGCTATATGAACCCAAATATTTCATATTATAAATACTTAAGCCATACAACGTTCTAAAGTGTGGTTGAATATTATTTGATCCTACATAACATACTTTGAAGACAAAAATCAATTTCCAAAAGTCAGTTGGTTCAATCACACTATCAAAACATCAAAATCCCAAATTCTCAAAACACCAAATCAATCACTTCCATTACATTTATCAGAATCATGAAAATTTAGGAATGTACCTCGAGTTCCGATTTGTGAAGAGCGAGTTCGTCTTGACGATCCACGACGATAAAAGATTCTAAGGTTCTGGAGCTGGTGCTGGAGCTTACAACCAGAGGAGTTCCTTGGTGATTACAAGTTGGAGGCAGCGTCTTTTAAGCTTTAGTTGTGCCTGGACCAATATTGGAAGTCAAATATTTTATAGTGGATTTAAGTCGCAAATTTGCTCAAATGTTTTTGTTCCTTGTGAGGTGTTCTTCAAGAGATTTTTCCCCATCATCAAAATCTTGATATTATTTATTTTTCACAATATTTAAACTGCTTAGTTGATATCTAGGTTTATATTTATGTGATTTAATTCATTTGGATATATTTAATGGTGACTTGTTGCAATTAATTACTTGATAAACTAAAGTGGTACTACTATCAGAGCCAATAGATGTTTTTTATTATTGCAGATCGATGGCTGGACAAAGAAAAACTGGAGCTGCAAAGGACATTACTAGGGAGGATCTTCATAATTTGTTGCAAATCTTCATCAACAAATTAATCAGTTTTGCTCTAGATTAGACAAGGCTGTATCCTTTGATTTGCTTTTTCTCTTGTTGGGGATCAAACCAACAATTATCAGAGGAGAAATGCGAGGAATTTGCCTCCTATTTAACCAATTAACGAACATCATGATGTGTAACACACTACAAATTTTACTCATTATAAAAAAGGAGGGACTTAATTTTATTAGTTTATCTTCAGCTTATTTAAGAAAGAGAAAATTATCTAGAAACCTTAATTTAAAAACCAGTTTTCATAAATAAGAGAATTAAATTTAATTTCATAATTCAGGTGGTAATTAGAAATTATTAAATAATTATACTCCCAATTCAACCTACCCACTCTTAACTCCCACACATCACACCCGATCTCTCTTGTTCTTTCTCTCGCATTTCCCTTATTCTCTCTCTAGAATTGGATCGCCTCGCCGCCGCTGCTTGCCCCATGGCCGCTATCGTACCCCTTTGTAGTGACACTTCTCCTCCACAGCGGAGTTGTCATGCACCGTCACCGCCTTGTTCGATTGAGACGACTTTGAAAAATCGATCCGGTCGAATTTCTTTGTCGCCGGCAATTCAATCAACAGTGAAGGCTTCCTCTCAATCAAATTTTTCGCCTTGGGTAATGTAAGGTCCATAATTGGAGTATTCAGTTGATTTTGACCCAAATCTACGGAATCCGAGCTTGGAAAGTTGCATTTTCGCTTGATTAAAAAATCGGGCTGTAAATTTTGATTGTGTGGATTTGTTGATGTTACAAGACCATGAATAGGTGCACTCTGATGAGTATAGCCGACCAGTATTATGGAAAGAGCATGGGTCTTGCTGAAGAAGGTGATTTTGGCCATCGATTGTAGATAAATCTAGTGGCGTGAAGGCTGGTGCTGGGTTATGTGTAGAGAGGAGTGAGGGCTATCAAATGATATGGAATTTTGCTGATTTCGATGGTGGCTGGTTAGAGTTTTTGGTATTTTTTGTTCAAGCAATCGAGCATGAGATCTTTTCAAGCTGTGGTAATGATGCGGTGGGGGTGGTTTTGAGGCGATGGTTTTGTTGGATATGGTGGTGACTGATTTTTGTTGGTGGTAGTGGTGGTGGATATGGCGGTTGGGGCGATTTTTGTTGAATTTGGTGGTGGTATTGGTCATGGTGCTGGTGTTGTTCACAATGCTGTTAGGTTGTATTGATGATAGTGTGGTGCGGTGTGGTGATGCCAGTGGTGGTGGTTAGGATTTGTTGAAAGTGATGGTGGTGTGCAAGATTGACGTTGTTGGAAGTGATGGTAGTGGCGACGAAAATCGAGTATGACCAAGTCTATCTTCATTGTGACTATTTGTGATCAGATTTATAATAATTGTGACTGTACGTGACTTGGTTGCATATAGTCACAAATTAGACTGATATGATCACAGATAATCACACTGAAGATAAAATTGGTCACAATTTGTCACAGATAACAAAGGTCAGTGACTGTAGTAAAGTTGGAGGTGAAGGTGGTAGTGACTGATGGTGGATTGTGGTACTGGGCTGCGATGTGTGAATATTTGTTTATGGTGACTCTTTGAAGTCAAGTACATGTTTATCGTGGAAGTTGTGACTAATTCTGTATTAACTGTGATTGATTGTGATCTGATCACATATCGACACAGTAAATTTGAATTGGTCACAGACAGTCGCATTGAATACAAATTTGATCACAATTAGTTATAGACAATACAAGTCAGTGATACACTGACTTGGTCACAGATGATCCGATTATAGTTAGTCACAGATAACACAGGTATGGTCACAAACTATTTAGTTACATATAACACAGTTAATCACCAGAACGGCTGTTGGAGCGACTGTCGGAGAGATCGCCAAAGCTAATGGTTGTCTCCGATGGCGAGGTGGAGCGAAGGTGGTGTAGTGGGGTGATAAGATGGGGTGGGTGAGGTGGCATGAGTGGAAATAATTAATGTACATTATATTATATTTTAATATTTAATAAATTTATTTACCACTTGCTTTTTAAAATATTTTAATGAGTTTGTTATTTATAAAATGTGATCTTTAAAACTAGGAGTTATGTTAAGATCCTTTAAATATATTAACATCTTAGCCTTTTTAGTCTTATAAAAGTCCATAAGGTAGAATGATAGCCCAATCCATTTATTACAATGAGGAAATTCGGCCCACTATTCTAACAAATGGACAAACACTTAAAACAAATCAAAACCTTTAATAACCTAATTAATAAGCCCTAAAACAGTCCCAAAATCCTCAAAACCAATTGATTACAAAGAGAAATCCCAAACCATCCCAAAATTCACGATTTACCTAAGAGGAGGCAGGAGCTTCACCCAGCCAAAGGCAATTCATTCACCCATTAAAGGCTCCACTCACGCGACACCATTGATTATAGGCTCGAATTGTGATTGAAGAAAGTGAATCAAATGGGATGAAGAGAAAATCAAGTTTTGTTGGATCGCACGATGCCACTGGTGGATGAAAGCTGGCATACAAAAATTTTTGAAATGGCGAGGGAGATGGCTTCTCTAGACTGTAAGGTCTTTGGTGTAGGGTGAGATTTTCCCAATCATTAAGAAGCTACTTATTTCATTATGTGTTCCTTGTGTTAGAGGCGTGTTTATGGTATCTGGGTACCCGTCCTGTTGTATATCAATTTTCCTGGTTGGGATGCCTTAGCTTTAGCCTACTGTTCATCTTTACCAAGTGGTTCCATGTTGGTTTACCAACCTCCACAATTCTATATGTGATGCTAGGTATTTGAGTGGTTGTCGAATTCACAATTATGGGGAGAACTTAGACGAGAAGCAAATTGATTTTCGTGTTGTCCTAGAGGCTCAAAGTTCAAATGTAAGTGATATTTGCATGATTCAGTAAAATCAGGAAGTTGCAGATTGATGCAAAGGCATGTTGTTCACCTGGACGCTTAAACAGCTCGTATACTATGTAAGTCATTGAATGAAACATTATGATACCATGTTCTTAGGTGTTATGGCCTTTGAGTTTTGTGGATATAACTTGTTAGAGGTTCTTTACGTAGTAGAACTTAGTGAGATATGGTTTGTAGATAGCTTATTTATTTTAACTATAACAAAAATAATTACAAATTATGTTAACATGCACCGACTTTGAGTAAAAGATGGGTATTTTGTAATGAGCCCGATTAGGACTACATTTTGCCAATTCTAATGCAATATAGCGCTGTTATTATTTGCGGAAATATTATAAATATTATCGTTTATTTGTTTAGCCCCCTAATTGAGCCCCTTTTTTTTGATAATGCATTTTTTTCAATTTCATTTTCAACGACACATTCTCTCATAAAATATTTTACACATATTTTAAAAAAATTTCATTACTTTTCAACCACACATTCTTTAAAAAATCACTATTTCATAATCCATTTTACCCAAAAATGGGGATCAAACGAGAGCTTAATTTCCTTTTTTGAACTTTTGTCACTTCCAGCTGATAGGATATTGTGTTTCTAAAATAAAGGTATATTTCCTGTTCGTCACATTTTAAGTGTTTGTCACTTTTTTTATTTTTATTTTTTTTATTTTCTATCACTTTTTTGGAATTCATGTGACTTTTTTAAAATTTTGTTCAATTTTTGTTTTTATTTTTGGTATTTTTGTCACTTTTTTTTTAAATAATTGTCACTTTTTATTTTTTTAATTTTTATCACTTTCTTTTAATTTGTCTCTTTGTTTTTTGTTTTTTTTTCTTTTATTTTTTTCATTTGTCTTTTTGAAATTTCAATCAATTTTTTTGTGGCAAATATTACTTTTTAATAAAAGTGATATTTTTTGCTTCCAAAAGACTTTTCATTTGATTTTTGAAAACACCTTTAATTTTAAGGGTATTTTTGTAAGTTGCCCTATTTCAATTTTCCATTTGGGCTCCAGAAAAATTTAAGTTCCAACTTTTGAATTTCAAAGAAACATAATATTCGTCCAATAGCTAGCGCTTGTTTGAGCCCCATTCGGTCAAAAAATGCATTTTTGAATAGTGTAATATTAATGGAAAATGTGTGGTTAAAAAAAAAAAATTGATTTGTGAGTAATATTATTTTAATGAAGAATGTGCGATTGAAATGGATCAAATCACTGTTGAATAATGTATTTTGATGAAAATAATGGAGCTCAAACAAGGGCCTAATTATTTAATGGTACCATTATTAACATCTACAATTTTTATATATACATCCCACTCTATATAAATACCTATTAAAATTTTAAAAAAAAATACTATTTTCATCAATGTCAGATTTCAATATTGTCCTTATTAAATTCATTCATTTAAAAATTATATATTGATACAAATTTTATATATTTATCCCACTATAAATACATTCATAATACAATTTCAAAAATTACTATATTAATCAAATTACTATCAACATTTAATCTGATTCTTACTTTTTATTTTCTATATTATCATGTCGGTTCTTTAATATTTAGTTATAAAGGTTAGCAATTATTTATTATTTATTTATTATTATTATTTTTTTGAATTTAGATGATTCTTTCAAAAGTATACTGCTCACACAACCAAAAAATCCCTCATCAAATCATATATTAATTAAATTTTTTTCCTTATAATTTTGGCG